GATCCGAGGTTTTTGTCACGTGTCCTATCTGGATCGAGTTATCAACCCAGAGTAAGTTTCCGAAAACGCCTAATGAGATGACAAGTACCTGTAAACATTGGTCGTTTTGTGCGTCATTTTCCAGGTACAGGGCAATGAAAATAAATTGTAGATAATCGTGGAATTGTTTTCATAAACACTCTATATTATGAGCTATCGTTATGGCAATTGACTGAAATGGTGCCAACTTCTCGAAAAAATATCTAATATGGGTATCGACGGTAATCCGAACGGATTTCTTGGATTAAAAAATTTTAACTATCACAAACTATCATAAACCAGTTTGCTTTCATATTGAATGAAAGAAAATCCATTTCTTCATTCGAATTGAACGCCCTGTATCCCGAAAACGGATTTTTCTATGACCAATGTTTATAGAAACTCGTCATTTCATTTTTTCAGAAGTTCAATAACAATTCCAATACCTACCTCTTGTCCCTATCCTCCCTAGGAACGCATGATGTTCTTTGAACATTATAGGGATTTCCTTTCGTGCGCTCCAAGCGATAAAAAAATCAATATCGTCTCCTGGTCCTTGAAATACTTATACGATACCTACCTTCCTACTGCTGTATTTCCAGGCATGTTACAATACTTAGTGGATCATAAATCGATAACACTTTTTATGACGATTGACAGATGACCCATAACACGCCTTGAAAACATGTTGTAATATCTCAGTTGATCTTTTATATAATGTCTTCATTAAATCTTGTCTTATGACCTAATTGAGAGTTTCTGGTGCTCTGGATGGCGTGAGTAGCAGCAGTATATGCTCATAGAATACTTGTAGTAAATAAAAATATATGAGCATGAATGAAAAAAATATAACGTCAGTTAATGAGCTCCTCTAGGTGTACTATTATTTATATAGGTATGTTATGTATAAGAATTTAAAAATGGTTCAGGATCTTGCGTAGTTTGGAATATAAAATAGGCAAGAAGAATCCAATTCTGATTGCGTGAATTTTGAGATACCGCACATAGTACGGATGTTTCTCAAAATTTACAGATTTTAATGAGACCGACACGTAGATGAGACAATTATTATCAGTTTCCGAAATCTTATTCGATCGTTATTGAAACTTTCACCTGTCCTCATGAATATTTGAAATTCTAACATCTTGTATAATCGGAAAAGAACTGATCCAGATAGTTATCTCCAATCAAGCCATAAATATTGTTTCAAAAATATTGGAGAGAAAATAATAAATTATATTGATACATACAATTTCGACTAACCAAACAACATTCTGTTGTGATTCTGATTACAACTTGTGAAGTAAACTCTAGCATCATTTTTGACTTATTGTCGCATGTGAATCAGTGTCAACAAAGTGACGTATGATATGCATCAATAACTGACTAACTGACATGATTTGCCTAAACTACACCAAGATATTGAGGAAATGATAATATTTTTATTGGTAGCATTAGTTCAGCTCTAGTGAAATATTTTGGTTAGTACAGATTGAAAGAATATCGCTCATAACATTTCCGACTTTATATATTGTCAACTTTTGGTCCATTGCTTTTTTGAGGTTCCGTTATCAAGATTTCAATCATTGACATTTGGCTTCTGACAGCTGATAGAGTGGCATGGTCGTCAGATATCTCATGCTATGAAGTGTCAATGGTGTGGAACTGGCTGTGACTTTTAGTATCTGACGACCCTTCCTGAGCTAGAATGAATAAATTTCTTCCCAAGAAATTTTCACTATAGCGTAGCTTTTACTTTGTAGTAACTACTGAGGTTTCCGCTTATTGGTTAGTTTCAGTCACCTACCTAACTGACGAATCTCAAAAGTTACTTTTGAATAATTCAACTTCCATAATGGAAGCTTTATTGATCGAGGTGAGGTTAACTCAAACTGAATTGATTTCTAGTTTTAGCTCTTATTGAACATCATGAAGAACAATATTTGATATCAAATAACAAACTATGAAATTTGACATGTTTTACAGTGATTCTCGAAAAAAAGTCAAATGAAACAATGAAACAAAACGATATTTGGATTGAAATAGATGTATTTTGTGGGCAGACAAAAGTATCACAACCATCAATAAACTGGCTGATTGTTTATAATTTTCATGTACGAGCATGATTTGGTTGCAGTATGGTTTCTATGGTTTGAGTTTGCATATTTATTGATGTTACATTCTTCCGTTTATTGAATTAATTCATACTAGAGGACATTTGAAGTGGTGAACGTGACAACACGGCGCACTAATTGTGGGCTAGACAGTACTCAGCATTCAGCACAATGTTGCCAAGTCTCCAACATTTACACATGATTTTCCGTTATGGAGTATAAGACATATTTGGACATTTTTGTTGCTCGAAACAGTCAAGAATGAACTTCAATTCCATGGATTCCTCCTATCATGTTTTAATCAACAACAGGTGTCTAACATCTTCGTGATAACTCGATTTCAATTGGTGATTTGGCAACCTTGCTTCATGAGTGGGAATGGAAGATTATCTGACCAATAACGAAGCAGCATGAAAACTGATGTCACCATTTATTCGGTGTAACGCCAAATGACGGTCATGACAGTACGTTTGAAATAAGCTCTGAAATTCAACAAACTCGAACAAGGCATTGGCTCATTATTTACATAAAAAAAGCGTGAGAACTGTTTCAAAAATTAATTTAGTCCACTCGCCCATTGCATCAGCATTGGAAGTCAGATTTCAGTTCGTGAAGAATCACTGAATATGATCTAACATTAATTCATTCTGTTTGTCAGGTAGGTCTTGATCAACACGATGGTTTTTTGCTTCAACATCTCCATCGCTTCTTCACAACGCCACAAGATTCTGGTTATTCATGGACCAGTTTTTTCCTAATTCCAGTGTTTCTCTTGTGAAATCCTGTGGCTAACTTTTTCACGAAATTAGTTCCGATTCTTTGGGTGGTACTTCTTGTCATGCTTTGATTTAACATTTCAATAAATCATCACTTTGTTATCCTACGCCAGTCAATGTCCGAGTGGCTCAAATATTTATTAAAATCGTGGTCAACCGGAGCGTGTAATCTCGTTCTACATTATGAACATGGCGTGGTATATCACATTTGCACCTTCAAGCTTGCAGAGCTTTTACATGGACTGTTGGGCAAACCATATGATAAGGGTCATGGTTTGGTAGCTACCTCCCCTGGGGTGTTATGTCTGCTCACTTAGTCAAATTGATGATGATTCTCAACAATTACAAGCTGTTTGAACATGTTTAGACATTCATTGAAATTTATTCGATTATATATAAGATTTTGAAGAGATTGCTATGGAAGAGTTGTTTATTTGAAAAACGTTGAATAGTGATTGCTCTTGGGAGCAAGTTGATGAAGTCGTCACACGAGTAGAAACCTTGACTGCTGAGAAATTCTTTCGTTTTCTGTTTCACTTTATTCGCATTTGGCAGCGACTTGATCTCAATGGGCAGACAAATGAAGAACTTTGACCCAATATAGAAGGTTGACTTTACGAGAAAAGTTTCGTTTGTAGTGATGGAGACACTGAACCCACTAGTTTGGTAGCTTTCTTCCCTATGGTGTTATTTCTGCTTATTCAGTCAAACTGATGATTATTCTCAACAATCACAAGCTGTTTGAACATGTTTAGGCATTCATTGGAAGTGATTCGGTTATACAGATTCGAAAAGATTGCTATGGAAAAATTGTTCATTTGACAAACGTCGAATAGTGATAGATGTATAACAGATATAGTATAGTATGCCATGGACAATAACTGACGGTATAAGAAAGATCATTCACTCATTTCAAACTTCGATTGGTTGGAATATCTGTGTTGATAATCGGAAACTTTGTGTTTTCATATTTGTATTTCAGCTGTTCACCTACTTGCTGTGAATTACATTTCGTATTCCGCTTACTCATTGGTAGTTCAATCAGAAATTTAACAAACTGACACCAATAGCAAGCTGTTATTGATTCCGAAATATTTTCATATTAAGGAATAAGTGATAATCAACACTGAACTCCTGTCAAAATCGTAATAGACACTTACTTTTGATTTGTATCGAAGAATTTCGGAATTTTGTGTGATCTGCATCTCAAAGATTTTTAATATTAAGCTGGACTCATGAGTGAACCGCTAACCTCCAAATAATAACATAAATTATAATGATCATGATAACATGACAGTCGATGACACTTTAATTTGGCAATCTAAATTCTTTGATGGATCGTTAGTTGCATAACGCAACGACTGCAAATAAGGATACGACGTTGTTTAATTTAGAAATTAACGAGTGGAATAATCTTGAATAATAATTGATCTCAAATAATAATAGATCTCAAATAATAATATACCTTCTATGGGAGGTAATAGTTTATTCCTTCCGTGGAAGTAAATTCAAATCAGCTTTATTTTTCCAAATGGGGGTGCAAACCATCTCGATTAAGCCACAGACATTATATAACAATTAGATTTTGTTGAATTCACGAAATTATTGTCGATAGAAATTTTTTTCTCTCATTTATTAGAACTGTTGAACACTATCTCTATATTGAGAATCAGTCTGAAGAAATAAAGGGTGTTCAAAATCGAGATTTTTCAACTTTAGGATTTGTTTCTGTCGAAACTATTCATTATCGGAGAATACGGCTCACATATCCCTATCTCAACTTCTGATTTACTATTTACTGATATTCAATCGGAACAGATACAGAGTGATCAGTATTCTGAATCTTGAACCACCCTGTTTCTGTTTCGATTAAATATCAGATAATGAATACATCGATGAAATCAGCTCTTCAGGGAGAATCCTAAAATGCGATGGAATACAGGGTGTTCCGTTTGAAATATCAATGGTGCCACTCTTTTCTAGTAGAAGCGGCAACACTGCATTTTCGAAAAAATGTTGAATGAAGAGACGTCATGACATACCCTGTATAATCTCTCATTGAAGGCGATTCCAATTTTGTTTTTTGTTTCAGATTCGCCATCGATTCGGGTGTTACGACGAAATCTCCGTCACAGGTTCGATGAAAGTCCGGCACTGCAATTGGGTCAGATTCGTGAGGGTGGCCAACGCCTTCAACCCGGGGGTGAATTTCGTAGCGACGAAAGTTAGGGGAGAACCTGTATATGAAGCTGTGAAACCCATCTCTCCGGACACCGAGCTACTTGTATATTATCTACCTGAAAGGCCTGAAGAACTGTTTTTCGTCAGGATGAGAGCCTCCCTGTACAGACAGACTATGGACTCAATATTAGAAGGTAAATGTTCGCATATACAAAGAAGTGTATTGTGAAAAGAATAGATTATTTTTGACATCACAGAAATGTTGCAGTATAAGCTTTGCTAGGAATCAGAACCCGATTACATTTGATTATAATTTGAATGGTACCCATTTGGAAAAACTATCTGATATTAAGGACCTTGGAGTTATATTCGATTCCAAATTCAGTTTTGCAATGCATATTGATTATGTTACTAACAAATGCAATAGAATGTTAGGTTTTATTAAAATAACTTGTAAATATTTTCGGTCTCAAAATTCAATCAAAACATTATATTATGCCTACGTATTGGTATAGCCGATTATGTTTTGCAAGTGTCATTTGGAGTCCTTATTATACCAACCACAAAGTCCGATTGAAGTTCAAAATAATTTTGTGAGATTTCTGAACTTTAGAATGAACAATTCATTTGTTGTAGAGAGTATTAACCAAACCAGACGCTCTGCTGGACTTATAACTTTGGAGCAACGTAGAATTATGTCTGATTTATTATTCATCTATAAAATAATGAGGAATCATTTTAGTTCTTCTCTCATATCATTCCATGTACGGTCTTAACCCACAAGTCTTAAAATATCCCATTTTCATTAAATAAATAAATAAATAAATAAGTGCACAAAAACGGCCAAGACTGTAACTTTTGAATTATTCGAGATAGGGTTTTGTTTATTGGTAGGCAGCTAGTATACCAAATTACTCATTAATTGACGAAACACTTTTTGTTCTCTCACTTTCGGTTTTACTGGAAACGACCCCAACTTTTGATTTTCAAATGGGACACCCTGTATTGTATTCCATAATCGGTTAGGGATTATCATGACGAATTCAACGATACCGGGTTTGATAGGGTTATTCCAAACGATAATAAAGATATTTGCGTTCGAAGTTTCCATATGCTCAATGCTCAGCGAATTCCATCGGCAGGATCTAGTGGAGTGTTTCAGCACTCAATATACATGTTTTCTTTCTTGCCCGCATGTGTTTAACATAGGAAAATATACACTCAGTGGAGCAGCACTCCACCAGTTTCTGCCAATGCAATTTGCTTCGACACTATTGAAAGTATTGACATTTCAGTATTGACGTTACGCAGATGCACCAAGATGATTTCCAACCAGTCAGTCATGTAAAGTTCATAAAAACTATTTTTTCTTCTGAATAATTTTCATTAGAAAGCTGGATAGACTCCTGCAATCAGATTTCACCAAAATAAAACTATTCGAACTAAAGAATACTTTGGCTTCTTTGGATTCTCAATCTTTTGCTTTCGAACAAAAGGGTCAAACGCGCCAAGTTCTTTCGCTTTTGTCAAATGAGTCCAAAGCAGTAAACTGTGATTCAGGTTTAACCTTAACCGAATGATATTTTAGGGTGCAATGTGAGAGCTCTCAACCTTCCGGGTCTCATCAGTTAGGCAAAGAAGCCTAAGAACTAATTTGATTATAATTGATATAGAGGTTTCCAGGTTGGAAAGTCCCCCGTTGAATCAGCAAGCAGGAGTAAAAAGAATGAATGAATATGACTACTAATACATGTTAATAGAAATTTCTGTCTCATTGTGAATCATAAAATTACAATAGATGAACTCGTTCTATTTCAATATCGTGATGAATGTTTTGATAGTTTTTTGATTTTGATATGGTTCGCGATCATCATCCAGAAAACTTTTTTTAACGTCTGACGATAGAGACATATCGTACCACATTGCACAAATTCACATTTTTTTCCAATGGTCCGTGAGAAATGCCGTGGACAATGTCGAGACGAGAAGAAATCTCAAACTCGCGTCCGATTCATCCATAAATTACACCTTTTTATCTTTACCGATTGTTTTGAAGCTCTATTTGTAAAGCTCGAGGTGTAGAATCCGATTTCCACATTTTTCTTCTATCTAGGGAAATGCCGAAAGATATTCATCCGATCCAAGACCATAAAGGTGTTTACTCATTGGAAAAAGATGCCTTGCATAATTCGAAATCCATTAGTGTCTACACATTAGTTCAAATTATTTATCGAACGATGCGTAGTGATGAACAAAGGAGTGCCGCAAGGTTCCAGATTCAAGCAATCGACGTATATGCACCGAGGAAAATGTATAACTGAGCTATGAATCTGATATTCTAAACTGAATCCAGTTGATCTATCATGAATAACAATAATAATAATGAAATGAATATTAATAAAATTTCAAAAAAATTAGATGTATTCATTGGACCTAAATGAACAAAGTTCGTCAGCGAATTTGATAGACATTTGAGAATCAACTCTTGAGGCTTTGACCTGTGGAGAAATAGCACTCTAAAAATACAAAAACTCTCTTGCAGATGATGAAGCTTCAGTAAAGTACATAAATTGGATCAGGACTGCTTAGTTCACGATGTATTCAATATTATTCGTTATCAGAATCACTGCAAGTATTGGAAATGAATCATAGCGATTCTCTCAACCCCCACAAGTCATCGTTCTTTTTAGTTATATTGAAACTGACAGTTTCAATCCTGACAAGATAGATGTATCGAAAGTCATATGGTGTCATCACTTCCTATTTAAAAGAGTTTCGAAATCTGTCGATATCGCCTTTGTGAAAATAGCGAGGCGTGGGAAAATCTTGCTAAATTTCCGAAGTTTCAAACCAAATGTACAGGCATCATGACACATTCTTTTGAGTTCACATAGTAATTTTCACAATTTTTCATGTAAATGGAAACGGTGCGTTATATTTCGCCTTTCAATGCTGAATTCATAAACAACACGAAGTCCTAACTCAAGAAAATCCTGTGATAATAGTTTTTTCACTCACTTTTGGTACATATGATAAATCGAATGATCGGATTTTCAAATAATCCTCACACATTGCAGCAGTCTTATGCTCTTATTTTGTAGTATTCCTATTTGAATTCTGAATATGCTGAAAACATGACAGTCGTGGCAGATATATCAAGATCAAGATGTTTCCACACGGATTATTTGTTGCGTCCTGTCTCTTCTGCATCCTGTCTCTAGATGCTTCTCATCAGGAAAACACATCATTGAAAGTCGAGTTCGACTCCATAATAAAATTCGAAACGCATTTTGAACCCCACGATCCGAACTCGCATTAAATTGTTCATATCGAGAGCTAGTCTGACGAAACAATTGAAGAGTGGGCACGTTTGACGTTAATAGATTAGACGCTGTTCTAGAGACAATCAGTCAACCTATGGAGTCAAAAGTTAGGGCAGGATATTTGTTGATAGTAAATAAGTGATTACTTACTTGAATATTTTTCTTTGATTCTTTTATTCTGCCATCATCTGGTCCGAGTCAATACAAAATTTATTATCTGTTTTCGACCAACAATGTTCAATTCATACCAGCCGCGTTTGGTATATAACTTGACAACATCTCCCTTGTATAATAGTGAATCAATAGTACTTTCTCCAATTATATTTAGTAGATTACATATTTTGTTGAATTGTGTAACTCATTCATCAAAAGTTTTCCTACTTTGTATCGTGAAATGATATTTTGGCTGAACCGTTGTTTTCTGGTTGCTTGATGACAAAACAAACCTTCTGAAATTTATTCCACCATAACTTACCTCTAGTGCCATTATGGTATGGCTGCCCTTTTTAAAGTCCCCATCTCCGCTACATATTAAAGACAATCAAAATGCTAACTTGTGCAAAATAGGCCGTAAATCTGTCAGTCTCGGTGTGCGTTGCAATCCAAATTGGCTATTGTTTCATAGCGAGCCGCTTGAAGATGGGCGCATTTTTTCCGAGTTCGTCAAATTAAATAATCCACTTTATTTATGGTCACAGCTTCACAATGGCTGTCCCCAGGATAAAAACAATTGGGGGTTTTGTATAATTGAGTACCGGATAGAGGAGAAAAACTCCGAATCTCGAATTAGGTCTTTCTTGGACAACTTTTCACTAGTAATATCACAAGAGAGTGAGAATAAATTGAGAATATTTCGACAGATTTTCGGCGAGAACTTGTTTTGTTCCACATTGTTTTTATAACGGCTTCCTTATAGTCTTCTCCATTATATATTTTCATATTGAATCCATAGTCTTTCAAAATATCGGATAGTTTCATTGTTGTATTCTCTTCCAGTTTGTAGCTCCGTTCGTCACAGAAACATTGCAACTGTTTCCAGATCGATAAGTTACTTACTGTAGTATTTTTACTTGCGTTTTCTTTGATTTCATCGCTGATTTCATTTACAGACGAAGTACTAAATCGATTTTTGTTCATTTCTGCTAATTTTATGAATATTGATGACAGAAGCGTCGAATCAAAAAAAAAGGTTGTCAATCAACAGAAACAAAATATTTCAAATTATTCCTGTGGCAATAATGAAGGTAGATTATTCCCACTATGATGATGTCTGGATTGGCTAAAATCTATATGACTGACAGAAATTGGAAGTTTCATTGGTTTCCAGGTTTCCAGATATATGAAAAAATAATCTAAATTAGTTCTTCTACCGCAATCGTGTTGCTCCATTCTGACGAGAGTCGTATAGTAAAAAAAAATGTGAGTAACAACCGTGCCTTATAGGAAATTACAGTGTATCGAATCTGTGACATACAGCGGCCTATCTCAGACTAGCTTGTGACAGCTCTCATTGTAATCGAGCATACCAACGGCTAATTGCATCGCTGCCCTGATAGTCTACCTGATGTGAAGGTCGAATGCCGTTTTATTATCATTTTTTTCGTCGTTATTTTTGATTCCATACGATATGGGATGCGGCCGAACAAAACAATTTCAGGGCATTGTGAAAAAAGTGTTCATTTCTTAATTATCTCACGATAGGCTGGACGTTCATTCATCATCCTCGGGTATGTCCGCCCAATTCTGATGATTCAGTGATTCGAAAATATGAGAATACTCTAGTCAACTTTTCTCCCTGTTGGCTACTTGAGCTAGTTGGATCTTCATAAGCAAGTGAATACATGAAAGTATTCGTGATAAGAACAAGAACTGCAATTCACACACGAGGAATAACTGTAAGTCTAAAGTTGACTGAACAATGTATCTGACTAATGATTTGCCATCAGATATCGACTGGGGATTCACTAGCTCACGAGACCAATATATGACAACATTCATTAGAAAAACATGAGAAATCTCTGGCTGTGGTATCAGATACGTCAAAAACATCTGGCACCAAGGACTTGGTTTTTTATAGAGATATCTTTCAGATATATCGCTCTATGTGGTAGTGAACGGAGTATTTCGTCCAATACGATATCTATTAATTCTCGCATCCCACAAGGATCAATTTTGGCATCAACATTGTTCCTAATCCACATCATTGATCTGTGGTGAATAACCACTTGCCTCATTCACAGGTTTTGCAGATGACAAAACTTTCCATACTGCGTTTTCTTCCACAATTCCGATTTAATTTCAGAAAACTAAGGACTCACAACGAGCACATGATCAACGATGTCAATGAACATCTTGTTGAAATCACAGCGTGGGGAAACAACGAAACTACTGAATTCAACGCCACGAAAACTGCAGCATGTATTTTCTCGAGAAATTCGAAATCAGTATGCCTGATACAACAATGTCTGGTACTACAATTCAAACGAAGTTGACCAATTCCATGCTTAGTATTTCATTCCCTACGATACCACATTGTCCTGGAACCCATCACAGGGTTATTTTTCAATGTTATGACGTTACTTTCGGATTCATGAGAGCTTTCAGTGACCTGGCTATCGCTGCATATTCTGAACTGTGTGTTGCGCACCTTTTTTTCATGTTCTGGTTCCCACGAAAAAGGAAATCCTGCAATGTTCAGCAAACATCGTGAGAACCAAGGGAAATAAGGAAGAAATTGGTGTTCTTCTCAGATTTCTGGAGGTTATATTCCTTGGGGAACACCTCCCTTGGCGATGTGTTCCATAGCCCCGCTGTTCGTTGGATGGACGAGTCTTTGAAAAGAGATGTTCTGCATGTCGCCAAAGTGACCACGAAGGGGTGCGAAGCCTCAACTGGACGGTTTAATCTTGCGGGGACTGCCAAGAGAAGAACAGTTGTTGATATTTCAGAAGAGCATCGTCCATGAATATATCTATAAAATAGAGCTAGACCGCCAACTTCTCTACAGTGTTCCAGAGAAGTGAGTGAGTTCGTGAGCGAGGCATCACCCACGAGACGAATCACCCTTTTTTGGACAGAATCCAAAAGTTTCACTGTATGTTTGGGTGCTGACTCCAAATATGGGAACAGTTTTTCAGGATCTCTGCCTTATAGATCATAAGCAGCTGATTGGAAGTGAAATAGCTCCTGGCCCGAAACATAAAACCAAGTTTCTGGGATGCACTGTTGGAATTGGCAATTGATCTCACGTGACTTTCCTAAGAAAGGTTATTGCTGATAGTGAGACCAAGCGTCGAAATGGATGTCTTCGAAGGTATGGTTACTCCTGACCAGCTCATGATGGGCACAGTGAGATCGGCTTTCCTAGAGCTTGTGTTTGGTTTGCATTGGAGTCTACCAAGTTATTCCTTCCTCATGTCGTTTATTCGTGGTAGCCACGATCATTATATGACGTTGCGATAACATCGAGTATGACATAAAAACTACGGGAAATCCTGTTTAACTTTCAATCTAAGCCAGGAGTTAGGAATGTTTTACGTAGTTTTCATGTCATCGCAACGTCTGACTACCAGGAATTGTTCTTGCGCATTTCAAGATGGCGTACATCTCCGCTTGACCTTGATCTTTATTTGTTGCAGACTCACCCCTAGACCTCTCGATGTCCCTCCTCTCTAGGGCGCTCACGGGGTCCCCTCCCTCCAATGAGGACGAGAGGAAGTCCGTGTCCGGAGACAGTTCGGCTGCCAGTTCACAGGGCGATCTCCCGGAGTCCGCCGTACCCACCCCTAGAGCCAGGCCGAGAGAGAGGACGTTGCTGCCTTGCGGAGTGTGCAGCAAGGCTTTCGACAGACCTTCGTTGCTCAAAAGGCATATGAGGACACATACAGGTAAGGGCAACAAAATATTTAACCCAAATTGATCGCTCTGTAAGATTTTTATGTCTTGTTCGATTTTGATGAAATTTCAACCAAATCGTATATTGATGTGTCAGAATGTTTGCCTGCATTATATTTCTCAGGAGAACCTGATAGCATGATCGTTATACAAGGAAAAACCAAAGTTACTGTTTCCCTCCTTATTTTCCAACGTTCTATGGCAGAAACGAGTTGGTTCCACTCAGGTTCCTCATGTCTCAAACCAAAGTACGATACCTCCTCTACACGATGGTATATTATTCACGTCAATATCTTCTATTTCAGAGAAGATACGAGTGATTTCTTTTCATTGTTATCTATGAATATTCGGAGCTTACATGAACTCATCGATGAATGAATTCAAAATTCGAATTCTTGAGATGATCATTACCATAGAGTTTCACAAGAAAAATACTTCACTAACAATATTTTAGAAACTAAACATTCCATTCAAGTCGTAGATGGGGATTTCAGTTCGTAAGTTTGGAATATATTATGTTTACACTTTACGTTCTCTGACAATGTTTCAGAAATGAAAAACAAAATAGCATAACGTCAAACCCAATAATACATTATACTTGTAAATTTGACGTTATCGCATAGTTACAGAGGTAAACTGAAGTTTCTTCATAATTCTATAGTATGGAAAAGATAGCATCTGGTGCAGTTCAAAATGATTCGTAACTGGTTGTTGAATCATTCCAATACAGCTGATGATCGAAATGACATTATTTCACAGTCAGGAACATTCCTCCTACTACTTCTACTTCAATGAGAACTACTGCTATGTGTTAAAAAACATGCAATTAAATTCTGACTGCTCTGAAATGCATTGGGGTTTGTTATGCTGTCCTGAAATTATTCATAAACAAAGTCCATTGCGTTTCAGAGTACTATATCAGACGGTGCTGTACAGGGGAATGGCTATACGCCAGCAAACACTTGAAAACATCAATCACAAAAAGCCTCAAAAGCAGACCTCCTGAATGTGGTCAATAACGAGTATTCCCTCCTCCAGCTAGAATTTCAGTACCTATTCAATCGTCGTGGCATCGAGTTGATCCAATTTTTCAAGCAGTCATGAGGAACTGAAGAAATTCTTCTTGAAGAGTATGGCAAGGCTGGACGAAGATGAATACGCCTCTCGAGTTTCAATTTCAAAGATGCTCTAAAGGTTCTGAGTTGTTGTCAAAATTGAAATAAAAAAATCCCATTCTTTATTAAAACACTTGTATCTTCTTTCACAAAGAAGATATTGATGCAAATGAAAAATTAGCGTGCAGAAGATAATGAAGCTAATTTTAACAACTTCACCACAAGCGGCGTTAAAAAGTAAAAGGTTATAGAATGTCTTCTTCCTGTATAATGATCAAGCCATCAGTTTTTCTGGGAAATTGAAATTCATGCTAACATTCCTGAACATGACTATACGAATTGGTCGAAATTTCATCAAAATCGGAGGAGAATGGCCGTTTTTTTGGCTGGCGAGTGTATAATGAAGTTCTTGAAAAATCGCTCAAGTCCGTACAAAGCTAAATTTGACATGATTCTTGAATGATTATTAAACTCTAGAGTATTCTAATGTAATGAAATCAACTGTCAAATTATATTCACCGAGAATAAGTGATTTATGAAGAAAATTATCAAAAATCTTATATTGCTTTTATAGTCAGAATGAATGAATTACTGCTTAGATATTGTTGACTGTACGACGATTGAAATCGACCAATTTTGTACAAATTGAGAATGTCTTGTCTAATCCGTAAATGTTTCTCCTCAAATAACTTCTCAGGATCTCTATTATCTCTGTGAATATTAGATTATGGTCACGAACCATACACAAGCCGAATTATAATTTTGATCAAATCTGACGTCTTGCTCCTAAGTGCTTTTTAATGAGAACAATTTTCTCTCGACCTTCAAAAATCATAGATAATGCAGCATGCTCTCACAAACCATGTAAACCAAATAATTATGGGCAATTTTGGAAAGATACTCGTATTGTTCCGATGAGAGGATGTGATTATATATCTAGAAAATACATCAAAATAAAAAGAAAAGATCGATTTAATGTACTATATGGAGAACACATATGGAAGTATGATGCTAGTTTCAAAAAGTGTCCTGTCCTTGGATCTATGCAAAGCTTTCGACATTCCATTTTGATTCATAAATTAAATTCAATTAGTGTTAGAGGGAGAACTCATGATGGGTTCACGATCTGTTTGACAAATAGAAAGCTGTATGTTGAGATAAATGAAATTTTGACTGTTGCATAGCACATGTGGAGTACCGCGAGGATCAGTTTTGGGACCGATTGCATTTTCAATTTATAATAGATGAAATATATATAATTCTGCTGTCACGGTGGTTATTGCCAATTTCCTTCGAAAGGGCTGGACCGAACCGTATGAAAATTTTTGTACATCTGGTAGATTTGAGAATCGGTCGCAGGCTATTTTTCAATTTGAAAATTCGAGATGGAGGAACCAATATGGCGGACGAGTTTTGTAATTACGGTCCGATTCTATTCGGAATTGATATCTGAGGGTTTTTGGAGTCGGGCATCATGATTCTGTCATCAAAATTTAGAATTTCAAGATGGCGGATCCAATATGGAGGACGAGTTCTGTATTTCTGGTCCGATTCAAATCAAAATTGGTATCTGGAGGTTTTCGAGGTCGGAGATTATCATTTTTTCGTCAAAGTTTGTCAATTCCAGATGGCGAATCTAATATGGCGGACGAGTTTTGTAATTATGGTCCGATCCAATTCAAAACTGGTATCTGGAGTTTTTCGTAGTCGAAGATTCTCATAGTTTCGTCAAAATCAGGAAATTCTATTCAAAATCGAGATTTTTCAAATTCAGACGTGTCGAAATTATTCATTATTTTTCCGTGACAGGAAGAAGGACGAATCTGTATTGAGAAGATATTACATATTATATCGAAATCGGACAATTATCGACGTGTTTGAAGTTTCTAACAGGAATGATACTTGCGTTGCAGGCATCTTTGTGCAGTCATCATTATCATTCTTTTGAAATAATCAAATACATGTCAGTCTAATTCCGTGTTTTAATTTTGAAAAATTGTGAATTTAGTGGTCGTTCAGTACGTAACCGCGAAGTCGAATGGAAGATGAAAGGACTTGCAACTCTTTCTTGGAGATGGTGATATTGGCTCATATTATGGAACTATATAGCACAAGAGTACAAGCACAAGAGTTATATATATTTTTTGATGAATATCCTGGATAAGAGTACTCACTTTTTTCCCGTGGGCAGAAAGTAATTTATGAAAAGTGACTTTTTATAACCTGTCAACAGAGATGAATTTTTTTCCCTCAAAGAAAAAAACTTTTTTTTTTTCAGGTGAAAAACCACATGTGTGCATGGTATGCGGCAAAGGATTCAGCACGTCATCATCCTTGAACACCCACCGAAGGATCCACAGTGGGGAAAAGCCCCACCAGTGTCCTGTGTGCATGAAGAGGTTCACTGCCTCCTCTAATCTCTACTATCATCGAATGACGCACATCAAGGTAAGCCGTGCATAACGATTTTCACACAATAATAAAAGTGCTGACGGGAGAATTGAATGACCGCAGGTCGGTTCCTGTGCGGGATTGCCAGATTTCTAGATTTGACCAGGGTTAGCCGGGTTTGATCATTGATGAAATTGGATGTTATGTGCTCAATATTCTAATCAACTCACAATGGCAATGGCACAGCAAAGTGGAAACATTATTTCTTCAACAGATTTGAAAATTCAAAATTTTCACAAAAATCAGACCATGAAAATATTCTTTCTCGAGTTTCCTATAGGAAAAATTATTGTTAACAGAACAAACTGGACTAAAATCGCACAATCTATTCGATAGATATGAGGATTTGAATTTTTCTACATATTCTATAATATTCCTATGTGAATTTGTTTCTATCAATATAATGTATCATAACAGTATTGAGTGGTGAGAGTTACATATTGTTTTAAGAAGTATCTATCCGAAAATAATTATGATTTATTGACCATAGGATGTTGTCCAGCTTTCATCATCGAGTTCAGAATGCGTTTAATTTTTATCAAACTAACTATTGAACAATTACTGCAAATATCAAATAATCACTGTGAATAAATTTGCCATGGGCCATTAATGATATTTCAATTCGGAGTGATTATATCGTTCACTATAACTTTTGACGAATTTTCAGATTAACACTCATGTAGATAGCAGTATTTCTCATCAACAAATAATGATTTGTATTCAACATTATCAATTCTATTATTCATTTTCATTCTCTGACCTCTCGTATCAGCAGTCGAAATATAAAGAATACCCTTGGCAACGCTGTTTTCATTCATAGTTTCAAGACATAATCAAGCATCATAGTATTTAGTTTCCTATTTTGTATAATTTCATTCATTATGATAAGTTTTTTTTTCTTTTCTTCAATTGATTTCGGAAAGCATAAATAATACGTAGTCCACTTATAATAACTTCTATAGATTCTTATACCTAGTGATCAAGGAAGTATACTAATGAAATATTGACTTGGTACCGATCTAGTCTGTCGATACCTTTCCTTACCAAAATCTACCTGTTTCATTCTCAACACCTGCTATACGTAATTTTGCACCTTGAAAGTTTGTTTATCTGATCAATCAACCAAATGGCAAGTATACAGTCACCTAACCATCCTAAGAAAACATAAGGCACAAGTAGATTGCTATCGAAACCTTGCTCACAGCGGCGGAGCTTCAAAAAACTCATTGGAAATATTCATCAGAAAAATATTCCAACATGCTTAATAATTAGTTGTTCACTGTTGACTGAGTATTTTTGGCTAATCACATTAGCAGGAGTCACATTTTCCATTAGATAATATGCATTCCTTGAGTCTTCTAACAGCTTCCATCTTCAACAACAATGCAGATCTTAGGTTAATAACAGTTGATAGTTATAGATCTTTTGTCACACGTTCAGTGAAAACATTTTATTGTATGTATTTCGTTCTCTCACTAAACGTACAAAATACCATTGATTGAATATTCAAAGCAAATACATAGTACTATAATCTTTTTGCAGTTCAAGCTGATTCAACCTTCAAGTCTTTCGATATATGAATAGCTGCCAATGCTGCCATAAAGCACAAATAGATGAAATCAACTTGGAGATTAAGTGAGAGTTTGAAGTGTTTGTTTTTCTGGATCCGGATCGTTACGAGAAACCTATCCAATCATTCATTTTATTCTCTCTCCATTCATAAAATGGTAGATGAAATCAAGAAGCCAGATGGGGAATAAAACTCCCAAAATAGAACAAAAGAATTCTACTGCAGATTCTTTCAGAACTGCGAAGGCTTATCCAGGCTTGTCATTATTAGTGGTTCTATACCTATGTAGAAGAGAAGAGAGAGATCCATGAAAAACCTGGAAACTAGCTTATCGAGTCTTACAGTAAAGATGGAGCTTGACAGATAACTCTAAATGATTTTGGGGAAAATGAGCATACACAATGAATCTGGAAAGATCAGGATGGAATGTAGGCTAAAAGCAGTTGAGATCCACTATAACTTTTTCAAATTTGATGTTTCTACTTCAACTTTTCAAATAAACGGCGAAAGTGCTTGGATTTGACGCGAGAATATCGTATTGAACCATATATTCTTGTTCGTTTTTCTTGTTGAGTCTCTTGGAGCGCACGAAAATGAACTCCTATAATGTTCGAAGAACATCGTGCTTACCTAGGGAGAATAGGGATAGGTATAGGTGTTAGATTCTTTTCACCTTTTGGATGTTATGAAGTTATTGGGAATACTTCCATTGGCGAAGAGTTTCAAAACTTTGCCTATAGACGAACGAGTTTCTCTTGTTTTTATGTTTGTTCTGGTTCCCACGAAAAGGGATATCCTGTAATGTTCAGAGAACATTGTGAAAACCAAGGGAATTGAGGTAGGAACTGGTGTTCTTCCTGAATTTTTGGAGGTTATATGCCTCGGGGAACACCTCCCTTGGCAATTTCATCCAGGGCCTCGATGTTCGTTAGATTTACGAGTCTTTGGAAAGAAATGTTCTGCAGGTCTCCAAAGTGACCACGAAGGGGTGCGAAGCCTCAACTCGACGGGTTAATCTCGCGGGGACTGCCAAGGGAGGAACAATTGTTGATATTTCAGAAGAGCATATCGTCCATGAAAATATCTATAAAATAGAGCCAGATCGCCAACTTTTCTACGGTGTTCTAGAGAAGTGAGTGAGTTTGTGAGCGAGACATCACCCACCAGACGAATTGCCCTTTTTTGAACAGAATCTAACAGTTTCAGGGTAAGTTTGGGTGCTGCACACCAAATATGGGAACAGTATTCCAGGACATGTCGGATCTGGATGAAATCTAATATCATCAGATTATGTCTGCATGCTGAACCCCATATGTGCGAACAGTATTCTAAAACTGTCGGTATCTGTGCTTTGTAGATCATATGAGAAGCTGTTGAAATGTAAAGTAGATTTTTGCACGAAATAAAAGTGCGAGATTTTGTGAAGCAACTTTCGCAATGGATCGGATATGATTTTATCATGGACTGAATCTTATTTCTGTTAATGTCTTTGATCTGCCACTGCTACCCAAGTATCCCCTCGTTGATCGACTAGCAGGTGCACCCTTTCTGTCGAGATCGCGCCTAATCACCCGACATATACCATGTGTTATGTCATAATTACAATAATTTCGATTTTTTACCGGGACCATATGGAAAAGCCCTCGATTCCTCGGGGCGCAAGTCATTGTTCTCGTTGAAAAGGGTGAATCGACCTTTAATCAGATGGCAATCTTGAGAGAATCGGGGAAATCAGAGAGAGGAGCAGGTAGCAGAGTCAAATAGGTCAGCGGATATAGACGTCAAGTTTGGAAGATATGGGTCCGAATCGAGAATTAAGACTTGTCTAATGAGATTAGTATCAGGTGATGATGATGCTGGAGAAGGGATCCACGTTAAAAATTTTTTTTGGATGCGGTCGGGATCATTTTTATAAACACCATGTGTTGCATGTTTTAATATCTGTGATTGATATGTTTTATTTGAAAAAGGAGCATTTATATATTAATAAAGTAACTGGCAAAACTGCCAATATCAGACTAAGTAGTACCCAACCGTTCATAGCCAAATCACATGTAAAACACATCAGAAAAATACATGAGGAAATATCACAGAGAAGGTGAACAAATAAATCACAGAAGAAAGAGATGAAGTCAAAAAATGGCAAGATATTGAAGTAGAGAAAGAAAAAGATGAGGGGAAGTTGGAATTTAAAATGTAATAATCAGGACGGACTATCAAAAATCCTTCAAGAGGACTTTTTTGGAAAATAATAAAATGAAAAACATATTGTACGAAAAATACGGATTGCATTCAAAATAAGTTTGAATTTTAACAGGTTCCCAACAAACAATGAACTACCGGGGGGTTATTGGCCTATATAATGTTTTCTTTGCTGGGGAAATGACTTCAACGGCAAAAATCTGTTGGCCTTTCACATTCTTGTAGTCACTTTGCCTGTGGAGCAAATAGGTATTGGGCCTTCATCGTTTCATTGACTTTGGTGTTGCCGGGAAAGACAACAACTTTGTTTACTCTATATTTAAGAAGGCCAATGATGGGCATTCAACCATGCCTATATGTTCCAAATAAACATCAATTTTGCTCAAGAGTAAAGTAGCTTTAGTTTCTTACTCTTCATGAGGAATGACTTTTTTCCTAAAACTAATAATAACAAAGTTTTCCATTGGTTAACAAACTTTTTCAGAGATACTGTATACTTTCCTAGAATGATCCAAGATTATCCGAATGGAAATATATAATGAACTATTTCTCTCAGAATATCGAAGTATCAGTTGAAATATTATTATAAAAATGTATCAGTTTGATATATTGTCTTATCCCTTTCGATCTGTTTACATGTCACCGATGGTGACTTCACGACTTTAGATACTAATACGAATAGCTAGTCACTTTCACATTGATAGGACACCTGGAGAATGGACCATCATTTCACCGCAAATGAATGTTTGTTGGGTTAGGTACTTCATTAATATTTTTCTCACATATAGACAATGGTCGATCGATTGACTTCAAGTTTTATAGTTTTTCTTTGAAAAGGGCCGAGTACGGATAATTTTGCAACTGATGATATTTTGTATCAGATACTGTATTTTTTCAACAATTTCTAGAGTTCCGACAAAGATTTCCAAACTAGACATATTTGATTTACCCATTTTCCACTCATTTGATTTGGTAGAAAATATTCAGTATAACTAGATATTGAATTCCTGCAATCTCCATTTCAATTAACATTCATTAAAGAATTTAGAATTATTCAACCCATGTGAACGAAACTATTTTGTGAATGGAATTATTTAGACATAATTGGTAGTACTTCTTCATAGGTATGTATCGAGAATGTGGAGTGACCGTTTGACAGTCAATTTATGATATCCATATTACGTTGGAAATTCCTGAAAAAAAGTGACCATAACTGATCTTGATC